GCGCATGTGCCCTATAGCGAAAAACCTCTCCAAAAAAAAAAAAAAGGCAAAACAAAACAAAACCAAAAAACACTAAAACTTAAAGAAATAATATGTGGAAGATTATTTATGAGAGGGAGCTTATCTTACTAAATGTCAAAATTTATGTTACATTATTAGTAATTCAAATATTAAGAAGTAAACATTTGAATGGACCCAAGTTGTGAAATCTATTCATGTGTATTTGGACATCAAAGGAATGATATTGGTATTTCTAATCAGATGTTATATCAAAGCCGATCTTTATGCCTGTGAGCATGTGAGTGTGTGTGTGTGTGTGTTTGAGAGAGTATGCAAGTGTGCATATGTATGTATCTGAGGTGGGAGTGCAAAAGAGCTTGCTGTTCCCCTTGAGGTCATTTAGAGTTCCACATCCTTTCACAGGCTTCCTCTGTCTTGCAGCCCTGCTGAAGCCATCAGTGGAGTCAAGCAATCTTGTATAAAGGATCCTCAGAACTAGCCCCCTAGATCCATCCCAACAGCAGAAGGAAGCCACAGGAAAGCCTCACACCCCAACGTGGTCCTCAGGACCATGCAGAGCATCTTAATAGTAGAGACCTGTGGAGGCACAGAGAGGATGAGAACCTGGCAGAGTGGCTGTGAACGCTGAAGCCAAAACATTAGGCGAGTGAGCCTTTGCCAAAACACAGCATTGTCTAACTTCCTCTGCTCCCTGGGATTAGAAGAAATCCAGGTGAATGATGTGTATCATCTCATTATTGCCCTGATTGCCCATTAAAATCCAGGCTGTGTTTTCACTCACTTTGCTTTCATGTGGGTTTTACATTTATGGTCTCTCTACTTAAGACCTGGCTCCCTTATACCCAAAGGCCACAAGGCTATAAACTCAGTAGCACACTCCTTCTTAAGTTAATGTTTATTTATATTGCAGATTCTGGGGGATCCAGAGTCCAGAAGGTCCCTGTTTAGGGAAGTTAGAAGGCCCACTAAGTTTACAAAACGAAATGACTAAAATCTTGAGATCGACAGATGGTGTGGTGGTTAAGGTGCCGAGTTCCCACATAGCCAACCGTGATTTGAGTCCCTTACTCAGCAGTTTGAAAATTATGTCAAGAACATGTGCATGCATGCCAAAAATCCCAAAAGGAGAATAGAGGAGAAGGGATTCCAGTATGGTTATCTCCTCTGGGGGTGATTTCTCATTTTCCTTCTCTCTCTCTCTCTCTCTCTCTCTCTCTCTCTCTGCCTCTCTGGTGAGTGCATGCACCCTGTGACAAAAGTATTTTTTAAAAAATGACTGAAATCTCAAAAGTACAAGGGAAAAAGGGCTTCAAGAAGACCCTTGGAGATATTGACTGGTATCACTTGAAGTTTAGGGGAGGTAATGGGAAGAAGTCGAAATCACAGATAAACTTGAAAAGGGAGTTCTGTGAGGGGAAGGAGAGAATTCTCTCCAGAGATCTGCCTGGAAGTCATATGTTAGGGAACTGTCAAAGACGAAAGCCCCAATATTGAGTTTCCAAAATAGCCAGGAAAGCACCCACCTGGGGGTATTGGTTAAAGGAACATGAATGAATGCTAATTTCCATCTAGATGTGTCAGATCATGTATTTGATAGACCCTGGAGACTTTAAGAAAAAGCTACTTGGGGACCAGCAGTTAGCGTAATGGCTATGTCACTGGACTCCCATGTAGTCGATCGTGGTTTGCGTCCTGGACCTGGTGGCTTAAAACTCATGCCAGACGCATGTGCGTGCGTGCCCAAGATCCCGAGAGGAGAATGGAGGAGAAGAGATTGCAGCATGGCCATCCCACCTGGGGGATGATTTCTCACTTTCTGTCTCTCTGTCTCTCTCTCTGTTTTGCGAGTGCACGTGCGCTATAGCAAAAACCTCTCCAAAATTCCCAAAAAACCAAAAACAGTCATTGGGGTCAGCTTTTTTTTTTTTTTTTTTAAAGAGCTTTTTGCTATAGGGCATGTTTGCTCACCAGAGACAAATAGTGAGAAATCACCCTTTGGGGAGGTGGCCATGCACAATCCCTTCTCTTGGGATCTTGGGCACATACACATTTGTGCCTGGCGTGAGTTTGAAGCTGCCTGGTCCAGGACTTAAACTGCAGTGGACTACATGGGAGTCCAGCAACATGACCATTATGCTATCTGCTGGTCCCATGGCCAGCTTTTAAAACTGCAAATATGAATGTCATCTCAGATTAATGGCTATTTCTGACACTGTGGATTATTTGCTAAACTTTATTACGTATTCATTATTCATTTTGTTCTCCTATAATGTTTTATTTCTATGTGGTCAGTAAATAAAATCTTTACATATTGCTGTGGTGCACCTGTACTTGCCAGAGAGAGACAGAAGGGGAGAGAGAAAGAGAGCAAATGTGAAAAATCAACCCCCAGGGTGGTGGTCACACTATAGTCCCTTCATTCTCCTCTCAGGATTTTGGGCACACATGCAGAAGTGTACTCAAGCTGCTGGGTCCAGAACTTTAACCACAAAGTCATCCATGTGAGACCCAGCTACCTTGACCACCACATCAGCAGCTGGCCCCATTTAACCTTAATATCTTTGTTTCTGAGTTTTTAGTCTACTTTGCTCTTCTTTCTTGGTTCCATGTGTAAAGTAGTATTAACTTGATGTCTTTATTTATTTATCTATTTATTTATTTATTTTTAAGAAATTTTTGCTATAGAGCATACACGCTCACTGGAGAGACAGAGAGAGACAGAGAGACAGAAAGTGAGAAATCACTCCCTGGGGTGATAGCCATGCCCCAATCCCTTCTCCTCCATTCTCCTCTCAGGATCTTGGGCACGCACACACATGAGCCTGGCATGAGTTTGAAGCTGCCAGGTTTGGGACTTGAACCACAGTTGACTACATGGGATTCCAGCAACATAACCATTATGCCACTGATGTCTTTATTTTTTAAGAAACCTGTGAAATATTTAAATGTTTCTCTAAGCAAAGCTTCTTAGTATTCCCCAAATTTTGGCATGTTATATTTCCAATTTTGTTTGCCTCAGATATCTTTGTTAGTAGCAAATATGAAGAATTATTATTTAAGTAAAAACATGCCATTATATATGAAAAGAAAAACAAGCAAACATAGATGGAGGGATTTTCAATGTCACAAGATAAATGACAACAGATGATCATTTATCCTGGTGTATTTGTTACATGTGATGTTGTAATTTACTAGATAGAGTAGCAGAGATGACATCACAATTAGAACAATTTTTCTTTATTCACAATATAGTGGGTGCATGGAAATGACAGGGGGGCAGGGAGAGAGAGAACTGTCCTCCACAGGGCTTGGTCATTTCATGGTCCTCTTCCTTCAGTCCCTCATTCTATCTCAATCCCTGGGAATACATGCATAGAGCTATTCAGAGACATAGGGGAGGGTAGCTTCACATAGAGGGAGGTGAAAGGGATCCTTCACTGGGGCTTTGTGACTGCACTCTTAGGGGTTCTGTGAATAGCATGACGCAGGTTGAAGGATAGGCATTTTCTGGGGAGTCCTCTCCATCACCAAATTTTTAAAGCCATGGGATCTCAACCTACGTACCAGACCTCTCAGGACAAAAGTATGAAGTTTCACTGCTCTGAACTACAGAGAGGTGGTGGAGGTCCCATAAGTGTCACTTTCTTCTGGAAGGCCTGAGAGTCCACAGAATGAGGCAGAGGAAGCCAAGCCTTCACCAGAAGAGAGGCCCTCCAGTCATAAGAAAACAGAGAACCAGCCACTTCTTTCCCTCTGAAGAAGAGTTTTGTAACTTTGCCTACTATGCCTACTCCCTAGAGTGTGCGCCTGCTTTGGAATGATGACTTTCACAAAAACCTAGAGCTGCCACAGCTGTCACTTGCTCCTTTCTGTGCTAGTAGTTACTACATCACATTCAGGAAGCCCAGGGAATATTAACAAAACAAATTCCATTAGCACCTGAGACTTGTGCTTTTTGTTCCAGGATACAACTCCTATGCCTAGAACAGTGCCTGACAGATAAAATGGAACTGATAAGAATGTATAGAGTGAACCAACTAGTGACATCATAAATTACACAAGGAATTCACTCCTGCTACCATCCTCTACAGTGGAAAACTATAACCACTGGATGTTTGCAAGGACCCACTAGAACCAAAAAGGAACCTCAGATGCATAATGATTATTTCAGGACCAGGGGTTCATGGAGGGATTATAAATCATAGGACTAGGAGTGTGCCCACAGCCACCTCCCAGTCAATACAGCCCTCTCCTAGGTGACAGGTACCTGAATAATGGGGTGTACTTCTGAGATTCTAGTCTCATATTTCCCTGTGTGAAAGCAGCTTCCTCTTCCTTCAAGGGCCACTGTGTATGCCCTCTGATTCATATTTGTGAACTATACTTCGATACTCAAGTGGTTCAAGACAATCCTGTGCACCAGAGCTAAAGAAGATTCTGTTCAGGAAATTAACTGAGGTCTTAGGGTTGCCCAAAAGTATCATTCTCAGGAAATAAGGAATTAATTAACCACAGCTAAACATCATTGCTGGGAAGATCAATCATTTATTAAATTTAGCAACATTTAACAAAGCCAGGTTACTCCAGGTACTTTTTCAGTCACATGGGAGTCCAGCACCTTAACCACCATGCCACCTGCTCGACCCACCAGGTACTATTTTAATTGCTTGGTGATACCTTAATGAGAAACAAAAAGACTAAATACCACCCTGCCATTGTGAAGTTTACATCTTAGGGTGGCTAAGCAGAGAACTATAAGAGATTAAGAATACTATGGGAATAAGTAAAGCTACAATAGATAGCAAAACAGGAATTCAAAGTTGAAGGCAAATTCTAACTTTCAATCATGTCTATTGACATGCTGGCCCTGTTGCCTTTCAAGCAAAATGCTTTGTCTCTGATGGTTACTTGAGGGCCTCTGCTACCACAAAATCCACTCCTAGCTATAAATAACAAGGCATTTAAACTTTAGGCTCTTTCAATCATGTCTATTGGCATGCTGGCCCTGTTGCCTTTCGAGTAAAATGCTTTGTCTCTGATGGTTACTTGAGGGCCTCTGCTACCACAAAATCCACTCCTAGCTATAAATAACAAGGCATTTAAACTTTAGGAATCCTTTTCTAGAATAACTAGCCAGCTTTAGTATGCTTTTCATTAATAAGACACATCCCTAAAGTGGGCTCATGGTCCCAAGTATGTTAATTTAATTTATATAAACTTACCTAAAGTATTACTTTGGCTTACTAAGCAAAGTTTTCTAATTCAACTAGTCCCTTTACTGCCCATAGAAGGAAACAGAAACAGGGAATGAAACATGTTACTTATTACAGCAATTACACTGGGATAATAGAAATTGCTCTCCAAACATAGCAAAACTGAACACTCTCCACCATGACCACATTGACAAGGTCACCCATTTGGGGAGTGTATCCATCAGGAATATTCAGTGAATCCTTGGTGAAGAAGATTTCATTATCTATCACCCCATTTCTTCCATATAGGTTGGTGATGCGGACCTGCATGATGAATGATGGAAACATTTATTACAAGCACACTGTCCTGGGACAGACTTTGCACCTCCTTGCTCAGGCTCTAACCTACAGATCATGCCATCCCCATCCCTGATTCCCAGTCAGGCTGGCACGCTGCCAACACCAGTGGTGTTTAGTAAATATGCCTGTAGCTGGACTGATTTCATACCAGTCATATCAGAATGTGTGGGGATGAGGCCCAGAGCTCCAATAAGAATAAGATATTATTCCCAATGATCATTAATCTCTATTTTACTTAATTTCCTCCTCATTTTCAGGCCACACTCCAAATCACTCACAGCTTATATTAGTAAGCTCAAGTTCCTCATAACACTCCATTCACTTTTTCCCTAAAAATTTTCTTGCACACTAATTATTTTTCTTCCCACTTTTCCCACAACATCATAGTAACATTCTACAACCAAATAAACTTAATGAAGGTGAACTTAATGATATGAATAATCTCTATTATTTTCTAGCTATTTCATTTCGTGATCCTGCCTATCTGAATGAGAAAATATGCTCCTCTTTACAAACATATTTTCTATATTTCCATGCACACCCAAAAGAACATTAGGCAAAAATGTTATCACTAAAGGAAGTATTGGAAACAACTATTGACAAGCACAACATTGAAACCAATTACCTTCTCCACATGTCTACACGCCATGGGCTTCACCGAGTGTGCCACGATGTTGGATGTGCCTGGCAGGAGGGAGTACTCAACTGCCAGCCAGTCACCCTTAAAAGGTATAAAACCTGAAACAGCCATGGAGAAATTATAGTGTAGTATCTTTTAACTTAGGACATGTTAAATTTTCCAAGTTACTAGGACATTGTAAAAGACTAAAAACAGCTCCCATTAGATCTAAGGACATTTTGCTTGCATTTAAACAGACAATTTATAGTTCTTTCTGTCAGAAGGGAAGCTTCAAATTCTTTAGGCATTGATTCTCCTCTACTGATAAATCAAACTCAAATGGAGAAAAGGGTCAATTGTGCCTCACATGGAATCTTCTTGGGGCCACCACAAGATTTATTTAACACTTGGTCATGTTCACAGCTTTTAGGAGAGTGGTCAACTGCATAGGTAAAAACATATGTGGCTTCATGCATTCACATCTGGATGCTGCTGTTACTGACTTTACAACCTTATTCAAAGTGCTTAATCCTCTGTGCCTTGGTTTTTTCTTCTATAAAATAAGAAGCATAGTAACAGTCCTCATCACATACTGTTGCCATGACAATCATTCAATATGTTTAAAACTCATAGAATAATGCCTGGCACATAGTAACCACCAAATTGATATTGACTACTAACAGTGGTAGTAGTTATAGCACTAAGAACTACAGCTACTGTCAAATGCATCAATTTGCCTAAGTGTTTCTGTTAGCTGATGAAGTCTTAAATATGTATCTCACATTCAACAGTTATAAACATGCAGTTTCAAACAAAAATTTACAATAAGTAAAAATAAGTCATAGGATAACAAGGGTCCCTGTGGGGATACAGAACAATTGCAAATCGCAAACACTGCAGGTAGGAGTGCAAATTGGCACACACACTCCAGAAAGCCAGCAATATCCACAAACCTAAACATTTCTTTATCCTACAGCCCAGCATTGCTGAATAACTTAAGACACTGTGTTGGACCTCTACCCTCTCCTCCTGTTAATCTATTTACATTCTTTTGGTGTGGCTTTATAGAATAACTATCAAGGTACCTGATAGCCATATTGGGCTCAAATGTGTAATGAAAGTATAATTGAGGTTAAAAGTATCTTAGAACATATATATTCTTTACAAATGAAATTCAACAGTTAAAATGCACATGCACTCAAGTGTGCACATGCACAGAAAGCAACAAAGCTATCCCTAAACTTTATTGTGAAACGTTTGAAATATGTTGAAAATATTACCAATATACGCTGGTCTGGGGTTTTCATTGATGAGATCTTAAATATTCATGTGAATGAAAAATTGATCAGGATTTTGTTGGCCACATGCTCATGCAATAAATAATAGGAGGAGTTTTTACAAATATGACCTATATATCTCTATATTACAGATTATATTTAATAATTTATTTTTTATTGACACATAGAACAGTCATTGACTGGAGCCAGAACAATTGTAGAAATAGGTTTAAATCGTCTTTAAAAAAGTAAGTACTATATTTTCCTAAAGATGTAAATCATACCTTCAGAAACAATATCAAGGGAGAAGCAAGTTTTCTTACTAATGTAGACAGCTTCTGTGCTTACAAAGGTAACACAAGCAGTTAGAATTCTGGTTTCAGGTTCTGATGGTCCAGAATTGTCAGTATCATCACAGAGAATATCCACCTGTCAGATAAGGAAAATGGTTACTTACAACAGAACTAACATTTAAAACTGGATATTAAATAATGAACAATTGGTTTTGAAGAATTATTTTAAATAATTATTCTGAACTAAAGTAAAGACACTTCACATAAGAACTAGCTTGGAGATAGGAAATGATGGTAAAAATAATGTCAGTGCTTCTTATTATTAAAATGTAGTTTTGGAATTCAGGTTTTCTGATGCATCTTAACAATAGCTATAATATGATCCAGCAATTACAGTCCTGGGCATCTACCCAAAGGATAGGAAAACAGTCAGAAAAACACTCGAATATCCACGTTTATTACAGCATTATTCACAATTAATAAGACGTACAATCAACACAAATATCCAAGAACAGAGGAGTGGATTGAAAAAGCATGGCACATATTCTCTATGTAATACTACTAAACCATAAAACACAATGAGTTAATGGAATCTAATAGAAAGTGGACAAACATGGAAGATTTAATGCTAAGTGAAGTAAACCAGACTGTGAAAGAAAGGTAGTGTATGTTCCTAATTTATACCAAATGCTTGTACCTTATAGCAGAAACTGCAAGACTGGAAGGTATAAAAGATAGAGCATCTGAGGATACTAGAAACAGGGAGGAGATTGGACAATGGAGAGTGTCAGGGAGGGAACCAAGGGGGAAAAAATAAAACATTTAATGGACACAAAAATGGAAAATTATCTGTTGACGATAATGTGTATGGCAATATCTTTGATTGGACTAATATGCAGTATACTTATGTCCAGAACGTTCATTTACTATGCTGTAAAAATATACAGTAATTAAATGTGAAAAAATAAGAAAGAGGGCC